TTATGCTAAGAGAATGGGAAACCTTTTTGTATCATCTGTGAATCAGCAAAATCCAAATTTATTGGACCAGTTGAATTCCACACAATTTTTTTGAAAGAAGTGAAAGCAACAATTTTATTTCATCCCTGCTAACCAAATCCTTTCATAAACTTCCACCAGTCGGGTACAAATGAGTTACCTCCTTGTCATTTAAAAATGTTTGATAAATACATCTTTTTTCCTTGAAAATTGCAGTTCCTCTCAAACTGTCAGTCATTTTGAAAGTGCTCTAGTCTACCTTCTCAGATCTGTTATTCCTCAGCTCTTTGCAGGCAAAACATTTTTTCTCTGATGTGCATTCTTGTGATCAGCTGCACTCTCCCAAAACTCCTCCTGACACTGGCTTAATTGAAAGCAAAGGGATTTCATTGAAAATATCTTGAAATCCACCATGGACCTTCTGCCTAAAGTTACCTGAAGGCATAAAAAGAAATCTTCCATCCCCCTCAGGTGCTTTTTCACAAAAGAGTTTGTCAGGGAACATTCTTTGCATGCAGTCTCATTCCCAGCCCTTCCTTTTCTCTCTCTTCCTTCCTCCTTTCTTCCTATTTTCTCAGCAGTGTCCATTCTACTAGATCCTTGGCATATATTATTTTATTTAGCAACAAGATTGTTCAGTTTTCAGATAAGGTTTTTTGTTTGTTTCTGCAAGCAAACTAGATTAATCCGGTAACCTTTGGGACAATCCATTGCATTCTGTGACATTATTTGGAGATAATTTTTAATATTTATTTTTGGAGCCACTCTGCAGCTGGGAGGTGGTAATCTAGGTTCAAAAATGGTTCCTGGATCTTCCGAAGTTGTTCACTGAAGGTGTAAAGAGATGTGTGTCCTAACTGCCAGCAAAACGCATGGATCTTATGTTTGGCACCAAACTTATTAAATATTCAGAATGGAAGTGTGACATACAGATCAGTTATTCTAAAAAAAACCCCTTTTTTCCTTGTGCTATTATTTTACCATCCATTTTGTTTCAGCCTATAGATGGTCCACTAGTACTGCCCTTTTCATTATGAAAAGGAAGGATTCCTGAAAAATAAAAGTGTTCTGAATGGAGCCAAAGCTTGAATGTACTACTGTATCTCCTTTCTGGAAGAATTAAGTAAACATACTAGTTCCAGACAGAAATGTAGACTAAGTAACATATAGAATGACAAGGCTATGCAGGTTGCTTCTCTCCGATTCTCTGGGCCTCAGCTGCTATGCCTATAAATTAGAAACATATTTATTAGCACTCAAGATAGAACACTGAGATCTTTAATTAAAACACTGGAGGAAGCAGCAGATCAGGGCGTAATCCTATGCATATTTATATGGGCAAAGCCTGCAGTTCTCGGCATGTCCCAGCCAAGCATGATGGTTGGGGAATACTGGGAGAGTCAGAGCTTTCCTCTCTCCATGCACATGTGAACTGCACCTTCATAAGGTTGGTGTACATCTCAATTTATAATTTTTGTCACAACATGGCACTGCAGAGCACAATTAGGGTCTCACACCATATTTCATCCTGATTTGGAAAGTCAAGCACAATCACAAAAGAAAATGCCGCCAGTGCAGGGAAGGGAAACACGATGAGCAAGGAGGAGCTTCAGAACACGCACAAGACCCGGCTCTGCTACATGCTCAGGGCCCCTGGAGAAGGATCGTGGGCCCTGATAGTCCAACCTGGGTGGGGTGGGGCAATAAACAAATGCGTGGCCTTCTGTCCCCAGTACACATACTGGGCTTGTTGCGCTGTCAGAGTGCCCCACTCTGGTTTATTTATTAGTGGTGGGAGGCAGCATATTCAAGCCGCAGCCTGTCATGTCATTCAAACCTGTGGAGGGTGAGTTTTGCATGGCCAACAAACTACCCACAGCCCATCAGTTCTGAGTAGTTTGTTAACTATGGCAATAACGCTCCCTCGGAGAGCTAAGCAAGCCACAGCTGCCGCTTCAACATTCAAAATGGCTGAGACATGGACCACTACTCCCCAGCCCTGAGCATCTGGCCCATTCTCCCTCCTTCCACCCTGGAGGAAAGTTGCTCCCACCCATTCCAATTAAGCTTAGGGGGGAAAGAGCTCCCACTGGCACCAATAGAACATCCCACTTCCCAGATTTACCATGCAGGGGCTTTGGGGGAGGCTGTACAGTGTACAAAACTCCCTGCAATCCGCATTTAAAATAATCCGCTACATGGCAATTAAACTGGGGGCGGGGGGGGAACCTTCCACATTAACACCAACAGATGCTCAGGGCTCTTTGAATGCTTCAGGCCCTAAAGACCTTGAGCCAAGCTCAGTAACAGCCATGCTTGGAAACATGCAGACAAGGACAATATGCCATTGAACCTGGAAGAGGACATTTTCAAGCATGAGAGTATGAGATCCACACTCCGGATGTTCAAACCCTACTGAAGGTGTTTTCACAGCATCCACCCAGGGGCGAAATGCCCAGCCAACAGCAGGATATACTGCACACAAGGGAGAAGGCCTGTGTCCTGGGAGTGATATTGTCCCTAATTTTACAGATTTCGGGCCTGAACTGTAGTTCTGGCAAGAGGATCCCTCTTCAGCAGGTGTGTGTGAAAGCAGAGGACTTGTGTGGAGCTAACAACTCTTTACAAAGCTTTTCTTACTTTGTTGCTCTTGCAGATACACTATGGAGGCTTTTCTTGTGTGCCACGCCCTCTCGTAGGACACTGGGATCGTATGTAATTGCATTGGACTCGTTCTGTCCAGTTACTTAATTAGAACAGGAAATGTACTGTACATCTCCCAAATTGCATTGTATAGATTCCTGATAAAGAATGCATTTGAATATTCAGTCTTTCTGATCTTTTTTCCTTAAAGCAAAGGGTATTTATTTTCCATAAATAAATAAAGGGTATTTATTTCCACACAAGGTAAAATATCTAAATGAACCTATGACACAGATGAGCCAGTTGGCACGATTACACAAGCACAGACTCAGTTTAAACAAATACATGCAAATACATACATTACAATGTCATCCTTAAACAAAACCTGCATCTCTTGATGCAATATGTTTGCATTTTTCTTCAAAGCTGAGCAGGAATCATTGCCTGTTTGTTTTCCCTCGCTTAAATACTGTTTGTAGCTCTCTCCGTCTTGCTGCGAACACACCCCCGTCTGCATAACAGCTATCTACTCAAGAGTTGGCAAAGCAGAACACACTACTGAATTGCTCAATTGTTTTGGTTTGTTATGTTGTCAGGGCAGTATCGGCACACTCATTAATTGGTTGTGTCCCCAGCAAGTGGTAACAAAAAACAGAGGGTCAGAATCTAATTACCGACATATTTGAATAATATAATTCAAGGCTGTGACAGTGGAAGAGAATTTCTCAGCTGAGAAACCAGGATTAGACTAAAGACCTAGGGCTAATTCTGCTGCTGGTATAAGGCCATAAGTGTCAGAGCAGTGGCAGATGGACTATTCAGCTCTCGACTTTTAGAATATTAATCAGTCCAGATTTTGCAGATACACTTCTTTTGAAAGCTTACTGCTTGGAAGAGAAACGGATTTTAGAGCTGCCATCCTTTACAGATGGTTTTTATTAGTACAATTAAAATCCAAGGAAAAGCAAAAAGACCCCAAACATTCCATTCTGGGATGCTAATGGCTCTTTCCTTCATAGTGCCATAAGACAGCCAGGTAGGTCTCAAACTGGCAACCCACCTGTTATCAGCAAGGTACCAGTCCGTATGGCCAGGAGACTCTTGCTGGGAGGCAAGAACAGACTCGGTGCTGCTTTGCAAGGCTATCAAACAGGGTGAGCGACTGGGGAAGTTGAAGGATCACCTTAACTACCTGGAGCCCCTGCCTCCCACACTTGCAGGCTAATTTAGGAGAAAACAATAAAGCGGTATGTATTTTTAATTGATGAGTTGCCACTAAACTCTGTGAATTAAATCTGAGGCTTGCAATGCTCAATAGCAGCTACAAAGCACTGCAACGGAGAGATTTCGCTTATAGACAAGCTGCTATGCAGTGCCATTTTGTCTGTAAACTTTTAAAAAATGGAAAGTTTTCTGAACCAGGCTCTTTTGATCATCTAGGCAACTAAGCAAGAGTCTCTTGAGGCGCCTTCCCTTCTGGGGGTTGCCTTCAATTTCTTTCTGCCTCAGCCAACTCCAAATTCAATAGGAACTGGGCCAGACACAAGATCGTAGGCCTAAGCTACCAATTTGTCTGACTGGGTTTACTCGAATGATCATGCCCCCTTCCTCCAACCACTAATTGTTTAGCAGTTTTCCAGTTTCTAAAAGGTTGAACTGTCTCTCCTAAGGCTTAGTTACTGGTAATAAGATCTACAATATACTGGGGAGGGGAGTATTTCAGCCCCACCCCTTTTGGCTTTGGCTTCAGCCACCATTAGTCCCCACTCTAAAATAGGTTTTCACAGCTGCATTAAAGGCTGGTTGCCTTCATTGCAGTCTGGGCAAAGAGACATTTTCAAAATAATATTTTGCATTTACTTCCACCCTTTTTCCAATGTCTGTAACTTTGTACTGTGACTTGATTCCACTGAGGCAGCCAGGGGCCCCCTTTTCCTTTCCTGCCACTGCTGCTCAGATTTCATTGCTTTCTATCCCAAGCTCTGCTTCAGGATGGATTTATGTTGTGCATTTTTGTCCTGACACAAACCTTGTCAAAAAGATGAAGCATGAACTTCATACTGTCCATTAGAGACTATGAAAGAAATTATAAGCTCTTTAATGGCCTTCTAAACGCAGAAATGTTTCCTTTGAGGTTTCTTCTACATCTTCTGTGTTGGAGATGAATGGTGGCCATTTCCTTTTTTTTCCTCAGCTTTTGAAATTCCCCAGATGGAATTTAATGATTATCAGATGTTTGTTAGGATCATCTGCTCCTTCTTCCACATCTGGTGCCTTTAGTCTCTTACTCACAGAAACAGCTTAACGTCAGCACACATGACTTATGGGCTTAGCAGTCACCTCAGATCCCCCAGCTATTCATTATGAATGAAGTACTTAAAATACAGTTTTGGAAATGACAAATAACCTAGAAGCATAGGCAAACATACCAGCAGCACTGATTAATTCTGCATACAAAATTCACATTGGAAAATACTAAATCCAACTGTTGGCACCTTCTAAGGCCAAAGAAAGAATAAGCTTTGGAGTCCTGCTTCAATAAATGCATGGACTAGAGAGTGAAGGTGAATTCAGGAATTAGGATATGTTACAGTGAATTCTGATTGTGGCATTTGAACCTGAGTGTGGAAGATTTAGTTCCCTGATGGAAAATGACTCAGTAGCCATGTGAGAAAGCAGTATTTTAGCAGCAAAGACCCTCACACCATATTGGATATTGGATGCATTGGGCAAAAAGTGTCATACAGATCAATGCAGAGTCCTGCCACATTTTCAGTAGTCCAGCATTCTGTTCACACAGTGGCCGACCAGGTGTTGGTGACTTTGGACCGAGTGGCAAACTGCCGATGGCTCTGCATCAGGCAGCAAAGCATCCTGGATCCAGCTGTGCATGGCAAGGCAGCAGGCGGCAACTGCCAAGCTGAGCTGGAGGGTTTAGGACAGAAGAGCAGTAAGCCATGGTGGAGATCGTGGCTGAAGAGCTGGGCTGGCCACCTGTGAAGCACAGCAGGAGCTCCGGATGAGATGGTGGCTTTCAAAAGACTGACACTCATCACACCCGCCCTCCATGACATTTTGCTCCCTAACACGGAGCCAGCATTGATGTCAGCTTTTAGAAAGAGCTTGCTGCAAACAACATGAGGACGCCATCTTGCATTCATCTCTCCCTTCCTTGGAATGGTGCCTCTGAAGCCCCTTGCTTCATCCTCTGCATGTCTGTGCTTGTCCTGGCGAGCTACTGGGGCAAGGGAGCACCTTCCTATGGAGTCTCCTAGTTCTGACAGCATGCCTGAGCATGTCCACATCAAAGGTTGTAGCACCTAGTGCCAGTAAGTGGTGATGGTACCTCAGATAAGCTCAGAGCATCAGCAACTCTGTCTTACTATTCCAGCCACTGATGCCAGCTTTGTAGAATTCTCGGCCACAGTTTTTAAAGCTAAGTTTGGCTTTGCAATAGGTTGGATTTTATTTCCCTCTACTTCACAGCTAACATTAGCCAGGAAACATAGAAACAGAGTGAGTCAGAAGGGCCCCCCGGTTCCTGGGGGACCCCACTTGTCACTGGCCACCATCCTGATGATTCCCCACTAATGGTTACCCTCTGCTTTCAGCCAGTCAACCATGCCCTAATCCATCAGACAGTGCTTTGGTGTATCCCAAAACTCCTCAGTTTCTCCACCAGGATATCATGGGGCACTTTGTCAAAGGCCTTGCTGAAATCCAGGTAAACCACATCCACTGCATCCCCTCCATCTAGCCACCTTGAAACCTTGTCATAGAATTCTACAAGGTTTGTCTGACAGGACCTGTTATTGTGGAAGCCGAGTTGTATGGCCGTCAGCCTCCCTTCCCTATCTGGCATCACTAGATCTCTCACTATTATGAGCCTTTCCATTGTTTTTCCTATAAAGAATGTAAGGCTAACTGGTCTGTAATTCCCCATGTTCTTTCTACTACCCTTTTTAAAAATTGGGACCACTGAAGTCACCCTCCAGTCCTCTGGAACTTCGCCCATTCTCCACGAGACCTCAAAAATGGAGGCCAATGGGTGTGAGAGAACCCCTGCCATCTCTTGAAATATTCTTGGGTATAACCCATCAGGGCCCGGTGCCTTTGTAACATCCAATGCCCTGAGGAGCCATTTTACTTCTAGGGGATTGACTCTAATCTGTGCCCCTAAGTCCCCGGCCTCATCTAATCTCCCATGCGGATCTCCCCCATCCTGCTTGGCAAAGAACACAGAGGCAAAATAGTTTTAGCATCTGTGCCTGTTCCCTTGGATCTGTCACTGGATCACCTTCCTCCTTATTTAGTGGCCCCACTACCTGTCTCCCCTTCCACTTGCTATTTACATGCTGATATAAGTCCTTTTTGTTGGTCTTGATATTCTTTGCAAGTCTCAGTTTTAATCAGTCTTAGCCTTGTGAAGAATCCTTCTGCAATGGGCCTCTTCCTCCTGGCATACACTTTTGTCTATTTGCCCCAGTACCCATTTCCTATGGAGGTTCCTTTTGTGTCTAATCCCTCTAACCACCTCCTTTTGCATCCATGGCAGCGCTCTCCTCCGCCTCCCCACCTTACTGACTAGAGGTTTCGTCAAGGCTTGCGCCTCCAAAACCTCCCTTTTGAGTGCCATCCACCCCTCCTCAACTCCCTTGCCTTCCAGTAACCTATCCCAGGAGACTTTCCCCAGTCTGGCCTTCAGTTGGCCAAAGCTGGCCCTCTTGAAGTTCCAGCTTCTAGTGCTCGACCTGCTGCACGTCCCATTCCCCTCATCTCAAAGCAGAGGATGGAGTGATCACTCACATCCAGAGCTCCCCTAATCTGTACCTCATCTATCAACTCCTCCCTGTTGGTCAAAACCAAGTCAAGGATGTTCTCCCCCCTCGTCACTTCTCAGACCCTCTGCATGAAAAACCTTCCCTCTATAGCGTCTAGGAAGCGACATGACCTGGCTATCACCACTGAGTAACTCTCCCAACTAATACCCAGGAGATTGAAATCTCCCATAATTACTGTGTCCCTCCCCTGAGATATCTGTAGAATTTGATCTATCAGGACATCATCCAGGGTCTCAAGTTGACCTGGAGAGCGATAACACACCCCCAATGTCAGGTCCCTCTCCCTGTCAAAACCCCTAAGTTTCACCCAGACTGTCTCTGCCGAATCCCCATCTGTGCTGCATTCTATCTCACTGCATCCTATCTCTTCCCTGACATATCAGGCTTCGCCTCCACCCCTTTCCCTTCCTGTCCTTTCTAAACAGGTGATACCCCTCTATGTTCACATTCCAGACATGCCTTTCATCCCACCAAATTTCTGTGATCCCCACCAGGTCACACCCTCCTATTCCCGGGAGAGCTTCAAGCTCTTCCTGCTTTTTACCCATGCTCCTAGCATTGGTGTACATGCACCTCAACTCCTTCCCACAGATCCCTTTCTTTGGAATCCCCAGCCCCCTCCCTCATTCTGTGGAAGCGTCTTCAGACAGCATCAGTCATGAAGGAAGTCTATTCTTAAGCAGAAAGTGACCAGTCATTGGCTGGCAGCACCTGCTATGTTCCATTAGGATAACTGCAAATCCACAGATTGCAAAACTGTACTGCTATAGAGGAGCATTATTCGTTGAAGAATGGCAGTCCTATGTTGGTGCTATTAGTCATTACAGTGGATATCTACTTTAAATGAATATATTTTCATTTCAAAGACTTCTTGGAAACAGATTTGTTTTCTCGGTAATGCCTCTCTTTCCCTGCACTCCCCCAGCCCTATGTGAACAGAAAGAAAAGCAGAAATCCTTGCCCTTGGGTTCAGTCTCATAGAAACCTCTCCATGTGCAAATGTTCCAGCAATATATTTTGTGTACTTTACATATAGATAGAATAGATATACATTTTTAACCCTAGCTTCAGAGGCTTTCCTGTATATTTAAACTGCTTTATATACTGCTTTAGAAAAGTATAAAGGGAAAAAACCCAGAATGTAAACAAAATGTTAAAGATCCAAATATGTTTGTCCAAAGCTCAAGTGTTTCTATCTCCTCCAGAAAACAAACATAATTATTTAAATTCAGTGCAGCAATATAACATAGATAGTTTTTAATATTCCCTTCCACTGTTGATTGAAATGTGTGTAAGAAGACAAGCTAGTAATCACAAAGTACATTAAGGAACAATTAAAAATTAAAGGTCCACTACTGAATAATTGTGATAGTTCTAGAATATCATTTTTGAAACATATTACTGCATATTATTTTGTTTAGAATATTTCAGGAAAGAGCCATGGCTCAGTGACAGGGTACATGCAGATATTCCCAAGTTCAGTCCCTGGCATTTGGAAAAAGTCCAAGCTGAGCTGGAAAGAGAGCCCAAATATCTCAGGATCAAGGTGGGATGGCAGCAGGTATGAGCCACTCCCACGTGCTGCTTGGACTCTTGTGTGGCACCTGGCCGTGGGAGCAGCCAAGCAAGCTCAGGAAGAGCGGCAAGCAGTAGAGAGCAGGAGTGCCCAACTGGATGCCACTCAGATGTTTTGGTTGTCACTGTCCAGAATCCCCTAACCATTGGCATGCCAGCCAGGACTTATGAGGTTTGCAGTCCAAAACCTCTACAGGGTACCTGGTTACCACTCACTGACACAAAGCCAGTATGTGCTTCGCTTGCCAATCAGAGCTCTCTGTTCCATTTCTCTGGAGCACCTCTCTATTCTGTTTAAAACAGAGACGCCATCTAACAGATGTCTATATCCTTGTTGGAGATGAAGAGTCCAAACCCATGAACAAATGCTGTTAGTTCATATTATGCTTTAAATAACTCTGGGTATATTCTGTGACTTTTTTTCCTAAATAATTAGAGAAAGTACTGGCTGCAAGTAGGTTTGCACAAACAACCTAGAGCTACGTTGAAGTACACAGGAATTTTGTCTGCTTGTTAAACCACTGAAGGATACGAGCCAGGATAAAATAGAGCTCAGAGCCCCCGTGCTTGCGGTAAGGTGCAAGCTGGAATGGCCCTGCTGAATGGCAGCGCAAGGCCCCTCCTCAGGCACCAGACACGGGGAGGGGGAGTCCAGGGCCAAGACGCTGGGGAGAGAGTGGGCTGCACGCCCTGCAGCCTGCCCTGCGTCCCCTGAGCTGTCCTGCCACCCCCCGCTGCGCTGGAAGATGCCACCATGCCCACGAATGCAACTGCCAGGCCAGGTGGCACCTGTCTGCGGAGTGGGAGCAGGGCTGGTGCCATCTTGTTCTTTGCCTCAAGCAGCAAAATGTTTTGGACTGTCTAGGTGCAAGTTAAGAATAGCTGGAGAAAGGCTGAGATATTGCTGGGTTCAATTGGAATACAAAATGGGCATCGACGGATGAAAAGTTTGATTCCATTTTCAGTGTATTTCCAGACAGAGGGATGCTAGGTTAGCCAACAGAAGCCACTGTGTGGCTATTTTCTCTTTTCTTTCTTAATCCATTTTCTGGGGTGAGGAAAAAGTCAGAATGGCTGCACTGTGCTTTCCCTAACTGCAAAATGGGGATAATGAATTGGATCCAAATGGTGTCTTGACCTACTGAAATGTATGGGATTGTGATTCATACAAATTTCATTGATTTTAGTGGGCCTATTCTCATCCTGAATGTCTGGATCCAATCCAAAATTTCCAACACCCTGAGAAAAGTATTAATATACTGCATGTGGGAGGCAGGGGGCGGCTGTATCCAGCTCTGCCAGAATGTTAGCAATAACGTCCCTCTTTCCCTTTTCTACAGCCTTTCGAGACACACAAGAGCAGAACACACCTGGATCAGGTGAAACATGTCTCTCTTCCACCCAGATGAAGTGAGTTCACCCAGAGCCACTTCTGGCCAATGATATTTTCTTTATGTCTGAAGCATCTTCCACCATTCACTCCCATTTACCATTGCAAAGAAATGACTGTTTTTGTCCTTGAATTGTTTGTTCGTTTCATAATGTTCTGTAAAGAATATTGCTGGATGCACACATAGATTAGTCAGGCTACCCACCATGTGTGCATTTCTTCAATAAATTGAGGGCCGAGCTTAAGCTCAAAGCCAAGTCTTGCACTACAGGAAATGGGGAAACATTTTCAGTCACAGGACCATCTCCACTTCCAGACTGGGCTTACACAGAACGGTCATTCTTTGCTAATAACAGGCATCCTGATGAGATTTTCCACCCTGCTGAGTTGGTATTGTAGGCCACAAGCAACCAAAAATGCAGGAAAGGATGAAATAAGAATAGGCTTTGTTTCCACACTACGTAGGGCCACAATAGCAGAGCAGGAAGCCGCTGCAGATGGTGCCAGTTCTGCCCTCACACCTGAAACTGCCTTTGTAGAACCAGAGTGCCCTTCCCAACCTAGAAGGGGAGAATACCCTGCTTCAAAGCTGCATTGACTACTGAGGATCCAGTGCAGAGTGAATGATGCTACACACCTGTAGAATTGTCTGACTAGCCTCTCATAACATACCTGCAGCCAAATGTACCCAATCTAGGTACCTGTGCTAGGTGAAGCCACACACCTTTTACATATGGTGGGGACATCCTGTCACATCAGTGGTGCGTGAAAGGTACACGCCTTTCTGTGTGAACCATGATCAGCACAGGGGCAGTATGCAATTGAGTACTATTGTACTTCGTTGTGATTTATTTATTCTTGCAAGCCATCCTGGGATGTCTCGTAAAGGACGGGGTACAAATATTGTTAATAAATAATAAATAAAATAATGCATCCTGTCTTGTGCACGAGATTAGATGTGCTACTAAAATTCTCATTGCAACCTATATTTTCTGCAGCTTACTAACTTCTAAATTCCTTCTGGCTTCCAATGTAATATACACAATATCACTAGCCAGGGTTTAAAAAATACTCATTTAGTTAAGCAGGTTATCTTCAGGATCTGAATATTGTGTTGTCCCGCTTCCCTAGAAAAGACCGGGGAAGCAGGACTATGAGATGACGGCTCTGGTAGTCCTTGGAGGAAACACTTCATTAAGTGGTTGGCAGGAGCGTAACAAATTCAAAACACCAAATGCAGTATCTCAGCCCAAAGCAATGTTGGCTATTTTTACTGATAAATGGTTCATGTGATCCAAGAGCAGGTGTCCATAAATCATGGCTGTCATATCATCCACTAAAATCCTACTCACTCTCTCACAATTTTTCCTCTGCCTCCGACAAGTCCAACCCTACCATTAGGCAAACTGCCACAGGCAGCCAAATCCGGGTGGTGTGCAGTGGTCAATCTAGCTGGCAACAGCTCTTCAGGGTTCAGGTTCCTGCCCGGCATGGACACGCTGGGGACCGAACCTGAGATGTTCTGCATGCAAAGCAGGTGCTCTGCCACTGCGCTTTGCTCCCTTCCAGCAATGCTGGTTGCTAACACCATAGCACTCCTCCTGAATCAGACCTCTCCAGGCCTACCCAGCCAACCGCCTCTCCCCACAGTGGCCTCCTTGGATGCCACCCATGGGAAGCCCACAAGGACGTCCGAGAGCTACAGCACACCCCTGCTTGGCGACTGATGTTCAGCAGCCGACGTTTAGAAGCAGCCAGCACTGTATTCCACCATAAGTAGTAGCCATTGATGCACTTGTTCTCCATAAAACTGTGAAATTCCTTTCTCAACCCTACAGGTCTAGTACCAAGTTGTCCATCCTGAATCTCCCACTTTCCAGCTTCAGTGGACAATGCCAGGTCCCTCGTGTATCATTTTATGCACTTCTATCAAGCGGCACCTTACCCCCTTGTTTGTCTAGGCTAAACAATCCTAAACATTGCGGACTTCTTTCATACAGGAGTTGCTTCAGCCCCTTGGCCATTTTCATCATTCTTTTCTGTACTTTCTGCTTATAAGTAACTTTTTTGGGTAAATTCTCAATTTGCTTGGCTGGTATAAGCTAGGTACATATTAGAACTCTGAACAAAGAAGATCCTGCCCGTGCCCAGCAGGCCTGACGGGGAGAGCCTGGTTTGCTCACAGTGTGTGACCTCCACTGTTAGTCTGAGCAAATCAGACTTCGGAATCTCTTCTGCTTAAGTCATCTGTGACAGGCAGCTACTGCAGTGCAATAGAATCAAGATCTAGCCGACATCACTGCGTATAACCCTTTTTATTTCTGGTGGAATCCAACCTCCACAGGCCATGTTAGGAGTGGCAAGCGGAGCAAAGTTTGCCTAGTTTATGCTGGCAGCTGCCACAGATTCCCAGGGAGAGAATCTGATCATGTGAGCAACCAATAGGAAATAGGCTGGTGATGGAGTGAAATCTTGCTAGTCCTTTACTGTTGTTCTGGTATTTGGCATACCATCTGGGTACTGGCAGATAAGGCTAAGGGGAAACAGAGCAGAAAATGGTAACACAAGTGATTACTTTGCTTGTCTGCAAAACTGACTCTGGCTTGTTCAACAAGCTATGTTTAAAATAAATCTTAGCTGGGCATTATGTGCAAACTGAGTGTATGTTTATTAAGATGTGTGAATTGCAGGCTACAAACAAAGCAAATGGACTTAACTTGGGCAAAAATTATTGCTGAATATTGATTATCCACATAACTGGAATCTCAGAATAGACTTCCACCGGGATGTGAAGCAAAAGATCATGCCAGGTTAATACATATTAAAATAGTGGTGATCCTTCCTTTGAATCCTGCCTGACTGAGATTTTCTTCCACCCACTCAATTCACTGGACTTGGCTTGAACATTCTAGGAATATCTCTCTTTCAAGATTTATCTTGATAAAACAATTACATCCCAAATGTGATTTGCCACTGAGCATAGGGTGTCTCATTTATCATTTAATGGATTCTAAGGATACCCTTCATTAATCAAAATTCTTAGCTTAGTGTGTCCTTGTTACTGGGTCAAATTCAGCTGTAGGTTGAAGACTATCTTGGCATAAGTCTATCAGGCTGAACTGATTGGCTACAAACTAGAGCATTTCCAATCCTGGAGTGTTAGCTGATCTCAGTCAAATCTGATGCAGACCTAAGACTGATGCAAATTTCATGACCCAGAATGAATCTGCTTAATGTAACATCCAAACAAGATGAAGTCACCTTATCTCTGATCAGCCAGATGATGAAGATGAAAAAATAACTTGGTCCAGAAGGCAGGGCTGTCCCCAGATGTTCACTTCATATGGCAGCAAACTGCATCACATCCTATTTGCATTCCACCTACAAAAGCTAATTAGATCCTTCCATGCACTGGTAACCTCACATTTGGACTACTGTAATGCCCTTTACATGGGACTGCCCTTGAAAACAGTCTAGAAACTTCAGTTGGTACACAGCAGGGCAGCGTATCTGCTAGCTGGGATGGGCTGTTATCAACATATAAGCCCCACCCTTTATAAACTACATTGGTTACCAGTTGAAGTCTCGGCCCACTTCAGGGTGTTCATATTGAAGTATAAAGCCCCAGACAGCTTAGCTCCGGGATACCTGGATATCTCCTCCCATACAGACCTGCCCATATACTAAGATCATCTGTGGTGGTCCCTCTCCATGATCCACCACTAAAAAATGCAAGGAAGGTGTCTGTTTTGGGACCCTATCTATGGAATCAACTCAGGGAAATGCACCTGGTGCCAATACTGTATACTTCTTAGCGACACGTCAAAACCTTTTTTTTATTTTCTCATCATTTTAATTGCTAAAGAGATGAATTGATTTTATATTGATTTTCTTTCAGAATATGATAGAATGGTTGCAGTGGATCAGTATTCTGTGCTCTGTGTTATTTCATTTTTCCTATTAATTGTGGTTATTATCTTTGAAATTATTCTTATGGAATGTTATTGCTATTACTGTATATTAGGCTACAAAGCATTCTGGGAGTGTCTGCTATAGAACTATCTATAAGAACTTTAAATAAATGGATGGATGGATGGACGGACGGACAGGTGATTCGTACTTCAGCAATGACAGTGGAGTAAAAACCTCCACCACAGCTGGAGCCAACAACCTAGTGTTAGGGGTGAGGGGTGAGTTGTGTCCTCCAAGGAAGAGGAATGGCCAGGGGTTCAGGAGAACAGCTGTGGGTGCCACTGCTACCCCTGCCATCTGCTGCCAGAGGAGCTTGGCCTACTCTGCCAGTGCTGCCCATGGTGATTTGCAATAGATTGGCAAAGTTTCCCTCCCCTTCCCACTCCTAACTGCATAATGATAAAAGGAACCCAAAAGATGCCTCTCCTCTAAGTTGCTAGAACTTCTTATTTGTATTAACAGAAGCAAAACTCTTCTTATGTATTTAATATGCACATCTGCCTGGTATATGGCTCAAGCTGAACTCTGGTGTACCCCATCCCATCATTCTGCATCTGGCTCTGCCTCTGCCTCTACCTCTAATCATTAGTTGGTATCTAATTCCAGTTGCTATACCTCAGTAAAAGAAGATCTGGCAAGCCTGAAGTCTGTGCACAAATTGCAGTTGGGTCTTTTATCTTATAATTAAGACTGATTCATGCAACAACAAAGCCACCTCTTTTTAGAACTTCCAGAGGTTTCACAGCAAGTATGTGAGAGGTTCTGCCTATTATCTACAAATATTTCTGCAGTTCTTATTAAACTACCCAAGACCTGAAAGGACACATTATGGTCCAGTGGAAGACTAGTGAAACCCAATCTTAGTACAAAGCTTTGTCAATTGTCCAAAAGGAAGACACAGCTTTGTATAAATGTGCAAACCCTAATATAGTTTAAATTGGAATCCAATACAATTTACCACAGGGAATTGCCGGGAAGACTATAACCACTAGGTAGCCTGTGACAGCTCAATTTTCCTGTCCAGTTGCTAACAGGCCTTCATTGCTCTTCCCTCTTATGGGTCTCTTCAAACAGGACTTGCACTAGATACCCTTTCAAATAGAAGATTCCGTCCTCTCTAAAGTAGGCCAACCTACAAGTTAGATACACAGAACTGCCTTAATTTTAAAACACCCTGTCCTTGAGAACAGGGAATTCATGTCTCCTTCCACTGAGGTGTGGAAGAAAAGCTTGTCACAACATGTCATGTTCAGAAAGGTTCAAAAACAGACAAACAGAAAACAACCATATACTAACCGTGCCGTTTGGACTGTCCTTGTGCATGGACACCCTTACTCAACCTGGCCTTTACTGGCTGATGAGTGACCATAATCCAAAACAAAGAAACATGCAGGTTAAACTTGTGTTCCTGGAGTAGGCAGAGGAGGAGAGATGCCTCTCCCCTTCCATCTCACCGTGTGTCGTGCCTGGCGCCTCACCAGAGGCGGCACCTCACGAGGAAGAGACAAACGCCCAAAGAGAATCAGGCATCAGAACAGGAGGACTTATACTTGAGGCCCTGTGACCAAGCGACCCTTCCACAACCTGGCTTGGGAGTAGCTGAACAGGTAGCCGTCCCTCATCCTGACCCTTTACCCCTTGGGCAAACAGCCACACCTCAGCCCGACCATGAGGGCCCCAAGGGAAAAGACACTACACGTTCTGCCCCTGAAGAGTGTGGGCAGGATGCCGCCCCTTCCTCCTGACGCTGAGTCTCCTAAACAAGATACAGGAGACGCAAGAGGTGGGATAGATTTGACTCGCACTACTCTCAGACGTAGCTTACACCGATTGGAACAAAAGGAGGCTTTGTCCCACCTTAGACAGGAAAGGTGGGACAGAGAAAGCTAATCCCACGTGGGTTCCCTGAGAGACGTCATTAAGAAGATAGCAACTAACTTGTAAAGGTCATTGCAGTGGAGCTTATCCATAGCATCGTAAACCTTGTAGAAAAGTAGCAATAAAAGACTTTCGTTTTATTGCCTGCATAAGTGTGGGTCATTTACAACTGTGGGCTGACACCACAACACCATGGCCCAATATGCTGTGGCCAAGCACAAGTTCTGTAGTTACAAGGGAGGGGTAGGGTTAGGTTGATTTTTTTTTTAGGTTGAAATTTTTTATTTACGTTAAAGCATACTACAAAACCTTACAAAACTTACGCATTTTGCATAATTACAAAATTTCCAAAATTGTACAAATCCAATTTACAGAAATAACTTTCTACAGAGTTCTCCTTGATATGTTCATGTCATGTACCTTACAGAAATTTTCCATGCAAGACTGTTATACAGACATTAGGTAATTGGGGTATCAGCCCCAGCCATGGCCAAAATTTCCTTCACCAACTTGGAGGCATTCTTCCTTTTTCTTCACGGCTTAACCAAAAGATTTTCTCTTGTACAAATTTTACTGAGCTAGCCACGTTAGCCAAGTTTTGTGTCTTCATCTCCCTGTGCCACTGATAAGACAACACCAACAGTACATACAAATTAATCAGTCTAATCGTAAGCCACGGTATAGTCCAATACCTCTCAGGTGCAGTTGCCTCTCTCCATCTTCGTTTCCTCAGTGCCCTCCTCCTGGGTCTCTTCAATGGAGGAAAGGGTTCTTTGCCAGATACGATGGATTCCCAGTCCTGGGAGCCTAGGTCTGGCCAGCACTCCAGACACCAGTTTCCAAGTGGAACGTGCCCCTGGGCAATTGCTGACAAAGTGCCTCACCGTTTCCTTTTGCACCATTCTGCTCCCGAGGGCCCTTCTTTCACACTGCAGTCTCGGGCAGACTTGTGCCCACTCGGGCAGCCACGGTTTGGTCCCTTGCAAATTATACACCTGGTGATACAGTCTCCATCTGATGTCCCATTACTTGAACAGAACCCATCTGTCCTTAAAATACTCTATAGGGTATGTCGGCTCCCTTAAATACTGAGAGGGGTTTGCTTTCTTTACGTTCTTTGCTACGTGTGGTTTGAAATAGTCAACCTCTAACAACTCTCTATACCCCTCTCATTTGATACTCCTCACATCACCTGTACTAGTACTAAACCATTTTGCATGGACTTTATGGTGCTTGATGAAACTGTAAACCTCCCTTAAATATTCCGTTCCTGTGCTCCTCATTGTTGCTGTTCTGGCAAAATCAAGAAGGTGCTTCCTCCCCATTTTTCTTTCCACAGTTTTCCCACCCAGTGATGTGCAAACAGGACTACCCACATGTGAGGTCGGTCCCCCCCCCACTTCCTCCCATCGAGTGTATTTACCAAAGTTGTAACTCAAAAAGATGGTGAACAAGGATCCACACCTCCTTGGTCTGTCTGTCTATAGGCTACCGCCCTCACTAAAGGGAAGGTGGCCATTCCCCATAGGAATTTGAACAGCTCCTTTTCCACTTCTTTCATTGCTGGTCCCAGAGGGGGGTAGATCACTGCCATGTTCGTCGCTACCGGTAACACGTGCGTGCATACATAAACCGCCTTTTGATACACAGTCAGCTGCCATTTCCTCCACATCCCATTTTTTTCCTTGAATTTTTGAAGCCAAGCTGACCAGTTCCATTTCCTTTTTTGGGTAATGGAATAGTAAAGCCCCAGAATCTTCACCTCCTCTACCTCCTCCTCTTTTCTTCTCTCCCCTTCTTGGTTTGCTTCCATAGGAATGATCTTAAGCTGATCTTCCACTGTGTCAAAAGAAATAAAGCAGCTTTTCTTCCTATTTATTTCAGAACCCGACACTCATGAGTAGCTATTGAATATCTGTTGTACTCTAGTTACCTCTTTTTCGTCATTCAGAAGCAGTAAGATGTCGCCGGCATGGGCCACGAATTTGATCTGTATGAGTGAACCCGCAGGAATAGACGAGTGGATCCCCACTATCCCCTCCGCTAGCTGTATGTGACAGAGGACGGAATCCAGAGCTAAGACATAAAGGAGGGGGCTCAACAGACACCCCAGCCTCACTCCCGATTGCAAGCTAATGCAATTTCCCCTATCTCCGTTAATCTGGGGGGGGGGGTGACTGTGGCGTCAGCTTACAGCAGTTTCAGGAATCTGACATAAGAGGGTGGGAGGTTCTTCCATCAGAGAACATTCCACAAGAAGGAATGGTGGACATTATCAAACGCTTTGGTTTGCTCTAAAAGAATTCTTCCCACCCATTTCCTTTCCCGAACCAACTGGAAGTTCTCCCTAATAAGACAGAGGGAGTCTGTCATAGCTCTTCCCAGCACTGCACTGGTCTGACACCCCATGACCAATTTGTAAGCCATGCTAGCCAACCTGCTTTTCAATATCTTTGCCAGGAGACGATAATCCATGTTCGTTAAAGCTATGGGTCTCCAATTAGCTGGGAATGTCAGGTCCCCTCGCTCCGGGAAAAATATCAGGGTTCCCTGATAAAAGGGTTCAGTCAGTTGCTTTTGGGCCAGTAATGAATTCAACACTTTTGTCAGAGGGAGAATAAGCCATTCCTGAAAGTTTTTATAAAATTCATATCCCAGCCCATCCGCACCCGGGGCAGATTTTCCTTTCGCCGTCAAGATGGCTCCCTTAACTTCTTCTTCCCAGATACATGCCACTAGCATCCAACTCTCCACTTCTGTCAGTTAGAGAGCGTCTTTCTCTCTGGGAACATCTTCTAAGAAACTTTCCATCTTGCAGGAGTCTATGTTCTTAGGGGCATAAAGCTGTTGGTAATACCACCCCATGATAGACAACTTCTCCTGCAGGTGGAAGGCTACTTTGCCTCCTTCCTTCTCTCACAGACCTTTCATTTCTATTAGGGTTTTTGGACTGCGCGCCTCTGCCCACTCCTCTACATTGATGGAGCAGCCCTTCACTCTGTAATCTTTATAGTTTAGCCTGTTTCTCCTTTGGTTATGATGGAATTCTGCAATAACTTTCCTAGCCTGAACCAACACCCCTTCGTCATATAGTCATCCCTGATTCATTCTACTGCGGCACTGTAAAAAGTGAGACAGCCTCCTGGTACTGCTGGAGTCCTCACCTAGTCATAATTGCAGCAGTTATTGCCAATCACCCTTTGTCCTTTCCCACCATTCTGGTAACTCGTCGACATAGATGTTGAGGAAGGTCAACATGTTAGCTAAAGCGGAAGCTATGTTCTCCTTGCAAGACATGTCTAGCATCTTGAGTCTGAGTCTCCACAGGAGTTTACCGACCGAAACTCAGCTCTATGCCCAGGATGGTGTGATTCACCACAGGGTGACGATAATGCTACATTTCTCTTGCCTTTACCTCCTTTGGGGCTCTGAGCCTATCTAGGTTGCTTGCTGTATTACCCAAATAGTAGGTGAACCTTACTCCATCTATAGTAGGATAATTATCTAGAAACGCCTTCCCGCAAGGTATGGGGAAGGTCCAAAGAGTTAGGCACATCCAAGGCTTTATCTTGGAGTCCTTGACACAAGAGGAATTTTTCCAGGTCCCTTTCCTCTGCAGTCAGGGGCTGTTCTCTCTTCTGAGCAGTTGCATTTACTGCTTGGATCCTATTGGATAATTTAGTTCTGTTGTTGAGGTCTCCCGTTATAATCAAACGGCATTGGGTGAAACAGAAATTCTTTAGATGTTCCCAAAATCCTTTCCTCTGTGAGCCGTCAACAGGCATGTAAAGACCGCATAAGCGAAATGGCCTTGAGCTCTCTAGGCTGTCTGCCGACAGATCTTTCAACGTGAAATCCATCACGATCAATCTACCTGGAAGGGCCACTAAGATGTTGTCGATACGAAGATTATGTTTTTCCCTAAATAATATGGCTACCCCTGCACTACGTTCTTCTCTGTAGGACCACACCAACAGTCCCAGGGCCCATAATTTCTGAGCGTGGCTCCATTGCTGCTAGTTGCAGATGTGCGTCTCCTGTAAGATCATATCATAGCGTAGCTTAGCCAGGTGTGGGATGATCTTCGTTCTCTTTGGCTGGTGCAGTTCTTGTGTGTTCCAGGTTAAAAGGCTAAGTGTTGCCTTATTTGAGATTAGATAAAGGATTTGCTTTAGTCTATAACTTGTGCTAGATTTTGTAAAAGTTCTGTTTTGGTACTGGTTCCGGGAAAACACAATCCTGCTTTAATGGAGACTGTTGTTCTCTTGTCTCAGTTCTTGTTCTCCTCTTTCTGAGGAAACTTCTACCTCCTCGGACAAAGCCCGTGGTGTAGCTCTACCGTTGAGTGAGGGTGGGGGGTGGGTCTGGAGAGAGGTCAGGGGTAAGGTGTGAGGTAAGGTCAGTGAGTGAATTAGAGGAAAGGGTCAAAGGTTTGGACCTGGGGAGGTGCATCTTGGGGAAGAACCGTGGGGGCAGTGGAGGACAAGGGATCTGCTTCTGGCAGTGCCTCTGCACATGGCTGAAGAACACATTCCTGTGGTACCGTTAATGCCATGCCATCAGGTGCTGCCTTTTCCTCATTTATGTGCGTCTCCTAGAGGCCTTTTCTTTCTCTCCTTTTGCTGTGTGCCCTTTGCTGTTTTGGTGGGGTGTCCTTTGGCTCTCCGACCAATTCCAATTCCAAAATATGACTTGTCCTCTCTCTGTTCCTCTTACTAACTCTTCCCATTTCTTCCCCGAGTGTTTGTCTACAGTATGTACGTGCCCCTCCCCCACTGCTTCATCCACTTCTATTTCCTCGTTCTCCCTTGCATCCCCTCTCAGAAGATGGAACCTGTTGGATTTTGCTACTGCGTTTTCGGAAACTCCCCTCCCTATCATACCACCAGCTGCAAGGTTCTTTCCTTTTCTCTGGGAACTGATTACTTTCCATCTCTCCACTGAACAGGTGGCTCCCGTGCTCATTTCCCGCTTCCTACCACCCACTCCCTGCGGATCATCCACGTTCTCCTTCATCATCTGCTCTCTTGCCCTGGCCTTCTCGCTTCCTGCCTGTGCCATCTTTTCTGCCTTATTTAGCTTTTCGGCATCTTGACAGTTATAAGAAGCTTGGGGGCACCAGAAATAGGTATGGCCTGCTCCCTCACAGAGATTGCATCTGATACCTCTTTGGCAGGTCTTCTGCCACAACAGTGTGAGCATAGCTGCGTGGTGCATGTCCTTCTGTAATGTTCACAGGAGCCACAGTGGTAACACACGGGAGGTTGCCCATTGTACCTGGTGATTCCACGTTCTGCTCCCAAAAGAAATATTTTGGAATCTTCCCATGCCTGTAGTCCTGGCTCTGATTTTTAAAGGACACCACAGAACGGTACTCGCCCGTCCAAAAACCCGCCTCATTGATCTTTTTGTATGGCCCGTTGAGTATCACAGCATACCTAGAAACTCGGCCACATCCTCCTCTGGGATGGTCGTGGTGCAAAAGATCACAGTCAGAACTTTGCTGTTTCCTCTGAAGAGGGGGACTACCTCGAAACCATCTAGTAAGGAGGGGTTCTCCCTTTGTGCCGCTCTACACTTTACCCAAAATTTCCAGTAAGTGAGTTCTGAGGCTAGACACACATCAGTCTCCTTAGACCCTGCTAACTGAATCACCACCATGACCTCTTCTTTGTTAATCTTCAGGGCCTCTTTTAGGAGTCTTTGTCAGAAATGCCCTGGTGTCTCTTCTGGGGTCAGATCTGACATATCGGAAGCGTACCACGAACCTTTTTCGGAGGGCCCTTCTATCAGAAGCTTGTCTGAGGCATTGCTGTATGTGCATTTCCTCCTCTTCCTCTAAACCCACTGCTAATAAGGTCACCCATCCTCCCAGTCGCCGCTTCTCTGTGACCGTTTGTAACACTGGCATATGTCTTGGGTCTGGGTTGTGTACTGATGTGTGCATAGGCTTGCGTTTGTTCCCTTTCAGCAGTAACTGTTACGCTATTCAGATCCCATCCATGCAAAAAGTGTGTACTTACAGACTCCGTTTCTGGCATTTCCTCCCCACCCCGGTTCGGTTCCCTTTGAACAACCTTGGGTCTAGTCCCACTTTCTATATCTGTTAACAAAGTCTCCTGCCTTTGTTTTCTCCTGGTCACAGATTCTTCGTCTCTCATAGATGTTTTCCTCTCACTGAAAGTAGAACCAGAACCACAAGGCCCAGTGTGCTGTCCCACAGCTTTCCCTGCCTCAGTTCCCTGTCCTTCCTCACTCTCTCCCA